TCTGTCTCTCCCTGCACTCTGTGCGTGAGGGCACACCGTAAAGTACCAAGGCGGACTGCACAAAGCGTACCTCATAGTGGAGTGCCTACCCTTGCACGCATTCGGCCTGCAGCTCAAGCTGCCAACCCGGCGCACCCACGTTTGGCGCTGAACCACCCCTGGCCGGCCTGCTCATCAAATGCACCCGCGGAGCTGGTCAGTGGCCAGCTAGGTGCTAAGCAGGGAAGCCCGGGTGTGTGTGTGTGTGAGTGTGTGAGTGAGTGAGTGTGTATTGCTGCTGCTGCTCATCGAGGCCCCGTCACTGTGGGTGTGGTGCACGAGAGCGGAGGTAGCCCGATGTACTTCTCTACAACTCCGATACTTCGGCTGCAGCCATGACCTGGATTCTCGTCGAATCTCGTCCTGCTGGTGTTCCCCTGTCCTTGACCCTCCCACGCCATCCGCTTCCGCTGTCCCAGCGCCTGCTATGTACAATGGACGCCCTCTTGGATACACAACATCTTCACGAAGTACTTCTTTCCCTCACCCCCCTCCCTTCCTCTTCCTGCCGCCCTTTTTGAGTTGTTTCTTCTCTCAAAGAGCCCACCTGGCGCCAGTCAAGTCTACGGATACACAATCTCCTTGAAGAGAGTTGGCTGAACTCTGTCTCACCTCGCCTTGTTTCGTGCTGCCCTTCGACTTCCCGAGCTTGGCCCCTCGTTTCCTCTAAAAAGCGGTTGACCTCCCACAGTCGCCCAGCGTAACCGACCTTGCTGCTCGATCTCGCGCTCTTCTGTCGTTGCCTAATCCACCACATTCGTTCTACTCAGAAGTCATCAGGATCTGGCTGAGCTGCCGAGCATCTGATCTTCAGTCATTCTTTCACAATCAATCGCTTTGCGTTGTTTTTCTGGCTTTGGTGTAAGTCGACAACCAAGGACCGCCAGCCACCGAACCGTGACCCGCTTAGTATAAACATACCAAATCCGGACCCTTGAGCATCAAGATATTAGAACTCTCCAGCCCGGTCACAAAAGTCAAGAGTGACTCTGGTCACCACAATAAACAATGGACTATATGGGATTCATACGGAATGGATACCACCAGCAACCAAATTATCATGTGCAAGCTTTCAATGGCCAGCATCAAGGACATCAGGGTTATCAGCAATACAACCTGAGCTTCGAGCAACAGCAATTGGTGTACGCCCAGTTGCAACAACAACGCGCTGCTGCTATGATTAACTCGGGCGCTATCTCTCAAACAAAACCTACCGAGTCCAAGCCCAGACTGGCAAAGGATGAAGTCGAGACTCTCGAGCGTGAATTCCAGAAGAACCCGAAGCCCAATAGTAGCTTAAAGAGGGAGCTCGCAGACCAGATGAGAGTCGATGTTGCCAGGATAAACGTAAGCTCCCGCACACAAGCATATCCAGGGACCATGCGTTGACATATCGTGTATAGAATTGGTTCCAAAATCGTCGAGCTAAGGCGAAGCAAATTAAGAGAACCCAGGAGTTCGAGGCCCAGAATTCCACAGAGCAAGCACCATCGGAGTCGGGATCCCCCGAAGACCATGGCGAGGGGTCTGTCAGTGAGTTCTATGGGATGAGCAACCATAGTCAGCCGTTGCAAGCATCATCGGCGTCATTCGACGACAATATTTCGTCGGACCAAACATCACATCCCCTCAGTTCTCAAGAAGAAGATGACTCTTCAGCATCTGTCATGAGCTCCCTCGACCAAGGTGTTGAATCTGTCGAAGATGAAGAGAATGAAGCATTCACGCAAGAGGAATACCCATCCCCATCCTCACTGCATTACCAACAGTCAGATGGGTCAGGTGCAGCATTTCAACCTGTTGCCGCAAGCTTCATACCCACCCATCCAACTGACAATTTCCATAACATGATGCCGTACGCGAGTAGTGAGATGACAGACCACTCTCATCCAGCCAGCCTTCCTATCTCTTCTCCCGGGACGTACAGTGCCACTCACGGACACGTCTCTAACTTGCATGGATTTGGACAGTTCACCCAGACACCCTGTATGAATGATGGATCAATGTCGTCATTCCCTCCTCAATATGCCGCGGAGGATATTGACACAAGCTCATTCAAGAGCGAAGGACATGTCATGAGCGAACTCGGATCCCCGGATGTCTCTGTCAAACTGGAACACCTCTCGCCGTCATCCGTTTCTCAAACCTCACCAGTCTCAGCCGACCTGCGCTTCAAGTCACCGCCACCGCCCGCTGATATTGCTACACGGAGAAAATTAGCGAAACCCGCCCAACTCAACCCCAGTGCCTTCCGTAGTTACTCGTATGGCCCGAGAACAGGCATTGATATGCCGAGGCGCTCAGAGGCTGCCAGTCCTATGCGACGTATTGCCTCGGCGACTGGTTCTATGCCTCCTAGAATCCAGAAGCTGACACTAGGCTCTGCACCTCGATCACCCATGTTCACAGAGCGTAACAAAGAAGCTTTCCTCCAGTCTCTTCAGGGTGCTTTGTCCCCTGTCACGCCAAACGAAGCTACGCATGCAAACCATCAAGGAGTAAGGGAAACAACTGTTTCGTCAAACTCATCGGATGAGGAGTCAAGATACACGTTCGGAGCGAGCCATAACCCATACTTTCAGGCGGCATCAGTCCCGTCTTCTATAAAGACACCCCCAGGCACGCCAGGCATTCATTCACAATTCCCCATGAACAACATGGACGCCGCCTGGAACTTTATGCCGTCAGATGAGCCATTGGTGACGCCAGGACTGGGAAGCTTCGGATCCGACATGGATTTTCCCGCTGCCTCATCGGCTCCTGGGTACGCTGCCAGTCAGCCAACAACGCCGTCCTTCCCTCCTTCGATCGGTCCTACCTATTATCCTATGTTCAACGGTAACGGAGCAGCCAGCTTGGAATACAAGTTCCCCGACTCTTACAACACGGAGTCATCAGCAAGATCATCGCCTCTTCAAGCGCACTCACGCCACTTCCAATTCACACAGAATATCACACCGCAAGACTTCAGCCACGAACGGTGAGCGGTCAAGACGAAAAGACTCAGCGTGTACAATTTTATTTCTTAGGAGCGAGCGTCAGCGGATTGGAAAAGCCCAGCGTTGCCTTTCGATCTCATACCCTGTTGGGTATCTGTACCAACATTATTCTCATTCTTCCATATTGAACTCGAATTTTCTAGCTCTGGACTTGTCGGTACCCAACACATTATGGTCCAAACGAAAGATTTGTCCAGCGAATATACGGAGACATGGAGTACGGCAAAATAAACCAAAAAACCCCACAAGTATCTCACTTAATGTAATGAAGACAAAGGATTGATGCGGATTTTGGATTCGTGTGTCAGGGGAATGGGAATGCATGAATAACCCTGAGAAGGGCTGGCGTATCAGTAAAGGATGGTTGAAGGGCATGGCCGCAACCGTATGCCACAGCCTTCGGGCTCCACCCTCAGATTCCTCCGAGTTCCGGTCTCTGCTCACTGGTGTCTACGGGCGAGAAATCTTATATACTGGTGTTCGAGGATAGGATTTAATGTTTTGTATGTGGGTTAACAAGGACGTCTTTCTTGGATATATGAACGGATAACTCGGGAACATGAGCAAAAGAACATTACAGGCCGGGTTGGCTCACAGCTTATATATTAGAAGATACCAATCTTGCCAATATATCCTTAGGTGGCTACCACGCTTTCTGGTCCCTCTGCGTGTTTGATGGTGTCTAATTAATTCTGCATCTGCATGCTGATTTGCTTTTGGCAGCTGTGGAACCCGGGTAAAGACAATCAACGTGCATCCCTAGATTGCGCAGGCTTTCCAACCAGGAAACCGGGAGCGCAATATATCGATTGCATACAGCCGCGATGAGGCTAAATCAGACCCTACGCTGTTGGGTAAGCGAGCAGGCGCTTACTTGAAGTCGGACTTCAGTTCTCAGACATACACATTCCAGATCATGCCACGACGTTGAACAGAGTTCTCGCTAACCGGCTCGTGCCGCATTGAGCCTCCAGTCCGTCCGAATGTCCGGTGTTCCCATTGGAATGGGTGGTGGCGGCCAAGTTTGGAGTTGGTTCGTACGCCGTTTCTCGCTTCCCAACTCTGTCCCCTGATGGTGCCAGACTGGCTCGAGTGGATGGTGAACCTTAAAAAATGACTGATGATTGCCTGACTCGTTGATGCCCACATCTCCATCTCCTCCGTAGATAAGCCGGCCGGGACCGCTCTTTCGGCCCACTGCCGTAGGAAAAGCACCAGCAAACAACACCACCAACCTGCCAAGCAAATTCCATCTCCACAGGACGCTAACCACATGAGTGCCTCCCAGATGTGGGGAAATGGCTGTTTG